ATAAGGCCACTGTATAGCTATATAATGGGGATAAGGCCACTGTATAGCTATATAATGGGAATAAGGCCACTGTATGGCTATATAATGGGGATAAGGCCACTGTATGGCTATATAATGGGGATAAGGCCACTGTATAGCTATATAATGGGGATAAGGCCACTGTATGGCTATATAATGGGGATAAGGCCACTGTATGGCTATATAATGGGAATAAGGCCACTGTATGGCTATATAATGGGAATAAGGCCACTGTATGGCTATATAATGGGGATAAGGCCACTGTATAGCTATATAATGGGGATAAGGCCACTGTATGGCTATATAATGGGGATAAGGCCACTGTATAGCTATATAATGGGAATAAGGCCACTGTATAGCTATATAATGGGGATAAGGCCACTGTATATCTATATAATGGGAATAAGGCCACTGTATAGCTATATAATGGGGATAAGGTCACTGTATGGCTATATAATGGGGATAAGGCCACTGTATGGCTATATAATGGGGATAAGGCCACTGTATGGCTATATAATGGGGATAAGGCCACTGTATAGCTATATAATGGGGATAAGGCCACTGTATGGCTATATAATGGGGATAAGGCCACTGTATGGCTATATAATGGGGATAAGGCCACTGTATGGCTATATAATGGGGATAAGGCCACTGTATAGCTATATAATGGGGATAAGGCCACTGTATGGCTATATAATGGGGATAAGGCCACTGTATAGCTATATAATGGGGATAAGGCCACTGTATAGCTATATAATGGGGATAAGGCCACTGTATAGCTATATAATGGGGATAAGGCCACTGTATAGCTATATAATGGGGATAAGGCCACTGTATGGCTATATAATGGGGATAAGGCCACTGTATGGCTATATAATGGGAATAAGGCCACTGTATGGCTATATAATGGGAATAAGGCCACTGTATGGCTATATAATGGGGATAAGGCCACTGTATAGCTATATAATGGGGATAAGGCCACTGTATGGCTATATAATGGGGATAAGGCCACTGTATAGCTATATAATGGGAATAAGGCCACTGTATAGCTATATAATGGGGATAAGGCCACTGTATGGCTATATAATGGGAATAAGGCCACTGTATGGCTATATAGTAGAGGTTGAGCCACTGTATGGCTATATAATGGGGATAAAGGCCACTGTATGGCTATATATAATGGGGGATAAGGCCACTGTATGGCTATATAATGGGGATAAGGCCACTGTATAGCTATATAATGGGGATAAGGCCACTGTATAGCTATATAATGGGGATAAGGCCACTGTATGGCTATATAATGGGGATAAGGCCACTGTATAGCTATATAATGGGGATAAGGCCACTGTATAGCTATATAATGGGGATAAGGCCACTGTATGGCTATATAATGGGGATAAGGCCACTGTATAGCTATATAATGGGGATAAGGCCACTGTATAGCTATATAATGGGGATAAGGCCACTGTATAGCTATATAATGGGAATAAGGCCACTGTATAGCTATATAATGGGGATAAGGCCACTGTATAGCTATATAATGGGAATAAGGCCACTGTATGGCTATATAATGGGGATAAGGCCACTGTATGGCTATATAATGGGGATAAGGCCACTGTATGGCTATATAATGGGGATAAGGCCACTGTATGGCTATATAATGGGGATAAGGCCACTGTATGGCTATATAATGGGGATAAGGCCACTGTATAGCTATATAATGGGGATAAGGCCACTGTATAGCTATATAATGGGGATAAGGCCACTGTATGGCTATATAATGGGGATAAGGCCACTGTATAGCTATATAATGGGGATAAGGCCACTGTATAGCTATATAATGGGGATAAGGCCACTGTATAGCTATATAATGGGGATAAGGCCACTGTATAGCTATATAATGGGAATAAGGTCACTATAAATAGCAAGTCCAGACGCCATTCAATAGGTGGCTAGTTGAATGGCCAATAACGACAAACAGGGGGTGTATCCCTTAGCAGCAAGTCAGTCATACACTCATCACACCAAAATCGGATTCTCTTGTATTGCTCTCCAGAAACAAGAAACGTTTTAGAGAATTATCTAGAAATGTTCCTGATAGGATTGTCACAGCAAGTAAAATGAAATGGATCACGGAACACATCTTAAAAACTAAGGAACTATTAGTTTTATTTTATTTGATATCGTTTTAAAATCCCTTTATTTAGGCACCCTGACTTTTTTAGTAAAGTGGGAATTTGCAGTGAATTTTACATTTAAAGTCAAATTAGCTGAAATGGAAAAATGATCCACGTCACTTATCCTTTCAGTTTACCTACTCTTTCAATTCACTTTGAATTCTCAATTTAGCAAATAACCCTGACTGTGTAGCTATCTAGTTCAGAAAAACTGTGACATATCCCTTAAAACCACCCTACAGTCTTAAATGGACACTATAGTAACCACAGCAACTTTAGATTAATGAAGCAGTTTGGGTGTATAGATTACACCCCTGCAGTCTGATGGCTCAATTCTCTGCCATTTAGGAGTTAAATCACACTTAGTTTAGTGACTCACACAGCCTGCATGAAAAATAAAAATAAAAAAGGTTTACATTTCTATCTGAACCTTACTATAGAATTATTATTATTATATATTTTTTTTTTTTTAACAGATCATAAAGCTCCTGCAGGCTATTAACAGAGCAGGAGATAAGAAATTCTAAATTAAACAGAATGTGCAATAAAGGAAGTTTAAACATTAGATTTCTTTTTAGTGGACATGTTTGGGAAGTCACAGACAGGAAGGTGTGACTAGCTTTGCATAAACAAAGTGATTTAACTTTTAAATGGTAGAGAACGGAGCAGTAAGACTGAAAAACAGCAATACATCAATACCCAGACTAGTTTGGGAGTTTATGGTATAGTTTTATTGTATTCTCCCCCTAGAATTTCTTATATTAGGCTGTTTGGTATGACTGTTTTAACTTAAAAGGAGGGGTTAACCCACAAAGAGTATATTACAGCTGCTATTTTCTTTAAACCACGAAGTCGCAAAGTCAAATTAAGACAATGCCTACCTATGCTGGAGGTGTAATCGGTGGCTCCAAAGATCAACTCTGGGGCTCTGTAGTACCGAGAACAGATGTACGAAACGTTGGGTTCTCCACGAACCAGCTGCTTTGCACTAGAAAAGAATAGAACATATACGTGTTGGAATCAATCAATAACAGAATTTAACAACTATACTGATGCAAGAACACACTGATTTCACTGAATTTAACATTTGGAACCGTTGAGACGATAAAAGGAGCCATATTATGCAAAGAGCATGGAAATCCAACAGGCCTCGCCTCCTGGTGTTGTGATTGTACCACAGCCAATAAGATTTCACTCATTTTGTATAGTTTATACATAGTAAGTTACATAAAAGTGAGCAGGAACACTAGACGAGGTCTAAACGGTCTATCGGGTGTATAAACTCAATATCTCAGCGTTCTGTAGTGGATAACCCTGTGCAAGTCTCAAAGTATCAACTGCTGGAAATTCAAAGTGAATTTAACAGGTTAGGCTGAACTGAGAAGGCACTTTATCGAATAGCGGAGACATCTCTATCAATATTTATTGGGATAGCAAGATTTGGAGGTGAGATGGGCTACTGACAGCCTCTAAATTAGTGAGCACAGCCGGGGGACATTTTGTACCTTTTTGACCACTTACTTATTAAAGTGGGATTTTTGTTAGAAAAAGACGAAATTTCGGTGCATCGCTAATTTGAAACTCAGCTGCAAAAATTTTAGTCCGAAAAGGGGCCTATCCCATTTTGGCCAAAAATGGGTCAAATCTGCTGAAAATCCACGGTACAATCTGGTCTCTGAATCCTCTGTGGTCCCTTCTCCCTGACTGCTGTCCATAGCTAGCTCAACATAGGGATAGGGATAGATTGCTGAACTGCTACAAGCACTGCTCTCCGCAGTGCCTACATATATACAGAGTGCTCTCTATGTATAGACAGTGCCTATAGCTATATATACACCGTTAGCTCTCTATCAATAGCTATAGATATATATACAGAGTGCTCTCCATGTATACACAGTGCCTATAGCTATATATACACCGTTAGCTCTCTATCAATAGCTATAGATATATATATACAGAGTGCTCTCCATGTATACACAGTGCCTATAGCTATATATACACACCGCTAGCTCTCTATCAATAGCTATAGATATATATACAGAGTGCTCTCCATGTATACACAGTGCCTACATATACACAGAGTGCTCTCCATGTATAGACAGTGCCTACATATATACAGAGTGCTCTCCATGTATAGACCGTGCCTATAGCTATATATACACACCGTTAGCTCTCTATCAATAACTATAGATATATATATATATATATATATACACAGTGCCTATAGCTATATATACACAGCTAGCTCTCTATCAATAGCTATAGATATATATACAGAGTGCTCTCCATGTATAGACAGTGCCTACATACATACAGAGTGCTCTCCATGCATACACAGTGCCTACATACAGAGTGCTCTCCATGTATACACAGTGCCTACATACATACAGAGTGCTCTCCATGTATACACAGAGTGCTCTCCATGTATACACAGAGTGCTCTCCATGTATACACAGAGTGCTCTCCATGTATACACAGAGTGCTCTCCATGTATACAGAGTGCTCTCCATATATACAGAGTGCTCTCCATATATACAGAGTGCTCTCCATATATACAGAGTGCTCTCCATATATACAGAGTGCTCTCCATATATACACAGTGCCCTCCATATATACACAGTGCCCTCCATGTATACACAGTGCCCTCCATGTATACACAGTGCCTACATATATAGAGTGCTCTCCATGTATACACAGTGCCTACATATATACAGAGTGCCCTCCATGTATAGACAGTTCCTACATATATACAGAGTGCCCTCCATGTATAGACAGTTCCTACATATATACAGAGTGCTCTCCATGTATAGAAAGGGCCTATAGCTATATATACACAGCTAGCTCTCTGTCAATAGCTATAGATATATACAGAGTGCTCTCCGTGCATATATACACACCTCTCTCTCTCTATATATATTAGATATATATATATATATATATATATATATATATATATCTATATATATCTATCTCTATCAATAGGTATAGATATATACACAGAGTGCTCTCCGTGTATTCACAGTGCCTATAGCTATTATAAATTATATTATATACATATACATACACACACACACACACACACACAGCTAGCTCTCTATCAATAGGTATAGATATATACAGAGTGCTCTCTGTGTATATATAGCTATATACACACACCGCTAGCTCTATATCAATAGCTAGTGATAGAGAGAGATATATATATATATATATATATAGATATATATATATATATATATATATATTACACACACATACATATACACACACACACACACACACTGCTCTCCGTTTATAGACAGTGCCTATAGCTATATATACAGCTAGCTCTCTATCAAAAGCTATAGATATATATACAGACTGCACAATGAATGTACATGATCATCTATAGAGAGCTGTCTGTATATGGACTCCTACTGACTAAGCCCCTCTCCCAAAGCCTGCTCACTGTATATCTATAGGTAAGTGTATATAGAGAGCTGTCTGTACATGGAAATCTATTTTTCATCTATAGGAAGTTCTCTCTCTCTACATATATACATCTACAGACACCCTCTGCCAGACTGCTCAGTATACATCTATAGGTATCTGGCCATATACAGGACGTTCTCTCTCAGTCTATATTTATCTACAGACACCCTCTGCCAGACTGCTCAGTATACATCTATAGGTATCTGGCCGTATACAGGAAGTTCTCTCTCACTCAGTCTATATTTATCTACAGACACCCTCTGCCAGACTGCTCAGTATACATCTATAGGTATCTGCCCATATACAGGAAGTTCTCGCTCAGTCTATATTTATCTACAGACACCCTCTGCCAGACTGCTCAGTATACATCTATATGTATCTGGCCATATACAGGAAGTTCTCACTCAGTTTATATTTATCTACAGACACCCTCTTCCAGACTGCTCACTATACAGCTATAGGTATCTGGCCATATACAGGAAGTTCTCTATCACTCAGTCTATATTTATCTACAGGCACCCTCTGCCAGACTGCTCAGTATACATCTATAGGTATCTGGCCATATACAGGAAGTTCTCTCTCACTCAGTCTATATTTATCTACAGACACCCTCTGCCAGACTGCTCAGTATACATCTATAGGTATCTGCCCATATACAGGACGTTCTCACTCAGTCTATATTTATCTACAGACACCCTCTGCCAGACTGCTCAGTATACATCTATAGGTATCTGCCCATATACAGGAAGTTCTCGCTCACTCAGTCTATATTTATCTACAGACACCCTCTGCCAGACTGCTCAGTATACATCTATAGGTATCTGGCCATATACAGGAAGTTCTCTCTCATTCAGTTTATATTTATCTACAGACACCCTCTTCCAGACTGCTCAGTATACATCTATAGGTATCTGCCCATATACAGGAAGTTCTCGCTCAGTCTATATTTATCTACAGACACCCTCTGCCAGACTGCTCAGTATACATCTATATGTATCTGGCCATATACAGGAAGTTCTCACTCAGTCTATATTTATCTACAGACACCCTCTGCCAGACTGCTCAGTATACATCTATAGGTATCTGGCCATATACAGGAAGTTCTCTCTCACTCAGTCTATATTTATCTACAGACACCCTCTGCCAGACTGCTCAGTATACATCTATAGGTATCTGGCCATATACAGGAAGTTCTCACTCAGACTATATTTATCTACAGACACCCTCTGCCAGACTGCTCAGTATACATCTATAGGTATCTGGCCATATACAGGACGTTCTCACTCAGTCTATATTTATCTACAGACACCCTCTGCCAGACTGCTCAGTATACATCTATAGGTATCTGCCCATATACAGGAAGTTCTCGCTCACTCAGTCTATATTTATCTACAGACACCCTCTGCCAGACTGCTCAGTAGACATCTATAGGTATCTGGCCGTATACAGGACGTTCTCTCTCACTCAGACTATATTTATCTACAGACACCCTCTGCCAGACTGCTCAGTATACATCTATAGGTATCTGCCCATATACAGGAAGTTCTCGCTCACTCAGTCTATATTTATCTACAGACACCCTCTGCCAGACTGCTCAGTATACATCTATAGGTATCTGGCCATATACAGGAAGTTCTCTCTCACTCAGTCTATATTTATCTACAGACACCCTCTGCCAGACTGCTCAGTATACATCTATAGGTATCTGCCCATATACAGGAAGTTCTTGCTCTGTCTATATATATATATGTTTCTTGTGTAAGGTCCTTCGAGCAGGGCCATCTTCACCTCGTCTTTTAATTTTATATGTCAAATGTCCCGTTTTATAAAGCGCTGCGGAATCTGTTGGCATTATATAAATGCGAATAGTGATATTTAACATATATGTATCTACAGAGACTTGTCATTGTACGCCTACAGGTAGCTGTCTAAATATGTACAATGTTTTTCTCTCTATACACACTTTATGTTTCATATATATGCATCTACAGAGACTCATTGTACACTTGTAGGAAGCTATATGAAGGTGTTCGCAAGATCACAGGATCCTCCATAGACTTTGGGGTTTTTTTTCTCTTCAGCCGGCGGAAATGAGAAAACTTGACAGAGGTAGGTCTGCCTTTTTGTCAAGTTTTGTCAGGCGTAGATAACATGCTAATGCATAGCCCCCTTTTTTGTCTTAGTAGAAGGCTGGGTTCTATGCAGCTTCAGTCAAACTCACAGAGAGATCGTTCAAAATACTAGCCGTAAGAGAAAAACTGCACCCCAAATCATGTTAACTCATTAGATAAATACAAGAGGAGGAATATAAAGACAGTAAACTGGAGAACTGAGATGGCTAACAAATCCCAAGAATTATAGAAACCTGGAAAAAGAAAAATCTGTTTAGATCCTGTTGTGCACTACAATCATATGGCAATATACCACAAAAACTTGCCCGTCAGCTTCCACGGAATCCCCATGAACCATAAAGGCAGAGCCCACTGAGGACCCTGGATGGAAGAGGAGGGAGGGAGGGAGGGAGGGAAGGAAGGAAGGAAGGAGGGAAGGAAGGAAGGAGAGAGAGAGAGGGAAAGAGGAAGAGAGAGGGGAAGAGGAAGAGAGAGG